AAGGTAGACATTGGTCACCTTTGAAATTTAGGTGGGCTCATTTTTCAGTTTTTATTACTTTTTCTGGCTTGGATTTTTTGTTGCATTTTGGGGAGGATTTGTGTTTAGTTTTTATACGAACAGGTGATCACAAGATACCTGCGCACAGGTTTTGGTCTCAAGTTGCTTGGAACATTGAAATAGAGGTAACTAAAAAGAAATAAGGAAAAAAGGGGGGTCAGCATTTGGCTTTTAAGAAAGGGCTTTTGGGGAAATTTTACTAGAGCTTGAGTGGTGGTACAAGGCACAGTGAATCAAGAAGTCCCCATAAAGAAAAAGAGAGAAGTCCCACCGCTCAGACACTTGTCAAACAGCCTTGGGACAGTGCCAAAGAAGTCCAGGGACAGTGTTGGACCAGAACAGTCTTGATACAGTCTTGGGACAGTGGTCTTGGGACAGTGGTCTTGGGACAGTGGTCTTGGGACAGGGTCTTGGGACAGTGGTCTTGGGACAGTGGTCTTGGGACAGGGTCTTGGGACAGTGGACTTGGGACAGTGGTCTTGATACAGTCTTGGGACAGTGGTCTTGGGACAGTGGTCTTGGGACAGGGTCTTGGGACAGTGGTCTTGGGACAGGGTCTTGGGACAGTGGTCTTGGGACAGTGGTCTTGGGACAGGGTCTTGGGACAGTGGTCTTGGGACAGTGGTCTTGGGACAAGGGTCTTGGGACAGTGGTCTTGGGACAAGGGTCTTGGGACAGGGGTCTTGGGACAAGGGTCTTGGGACAGTGTCTTGGGACAGTAGTCTTGGGACACTAGCCTTGGGATAGTAGTCTTGGGACAGTAGTCTTGGGACACTAGCCTTGGGACAGTAGTCTTGGGACACTAGCCTTGGGACACTAGCCTTGGGACTGTAGTCTTGGGACACTAGCCTTGGGACACTAGCCTTGGGACAGTAGTCTTGGGACACTAGCCTTGGGACAGTAGTCTTGGGACACTAGCCTTGGGACAGTAGTCTTGGGACACTAGCCTTGGGACACTGGCCTTGGGACAGTAGTCTTGGGACACTAGCCTTGGGACAGTAGTCTTGGGACACTAGCCTTGGGTCAGGGGTCTTGGGACACTGACGGAGTACTGGGACATTACCGAACAGTCTTGGGACAGTAAAAGGAAGCCTGGGACGGTACGAAGAAGAGTAGGGACGGTAACTGGAAGTCTTAGGACAGTATAAAAATTGAAGTAAAATTACAACAAGTTGTTTTAAGACAGAATCAAGACAGAACAAGACTAATTGGAACCCGGTACGGTTGGGACCACGAATAAAGAAAGTTACTCGAAGATTTTAGAGAACTGGAACAAAGTTTTTATCACGTTGTATATTTTCTTTTAAGAATTTGTTTCCACAAAATTTTTTTTTATTCTTAGAATAGAATTGTGTATATAATAATATTGTAAATAAGGGAAATTGTAAATAGGAATAATGAAACGGAGTAGGGTACCGGTGCTTGAAAAAAGGTCAAGTGGATCAAACACGAAATATAACTCGTCGCTGCGTGGAACAACATCAAGGGGCCCAGGCAAAACAAGAAATAACTTTTCAGTTAGCATGGTCAGCACGAGGAGTGGCACCGAGAGCAAGACGCGAGAAGATGCGAGGGAAAAACAGGTGGAGCCTACAATCGAAATCGACCTAGAGACACCAGACCAGAGCGTAGATGAACTGGAGAAAAAGACGACGGAGTCAACTCCAATGCCCAATGCAGAAGAACCAAACCCGAAACCCATAGAGTTCTCACCAATAGACGATGTGGAAGATGCAATAGGCAACACCGAAGAAACGGTGAAAGAAGACTCTCAAGTAAAAAAGACATCTTTTACAGAAAGGTTGGCGATGATGGTCGGAATAAAAACGAAAGAGAACGTGACTGAAGAACCAAAAGCTGAAAGAGCACGAACATTTGGGACAGTGAGCACGAAGACGACAGAAGCCAATCCGAGAGAGGAACAAACTAAAGCAGAAGCAACGGCCGAAGAAAGACCAACGGCTGACCATGAAGAGGCTACTCTTGAGCTAGGTGACTTGATGGCAAAACTGAATCAGATCGACAAAAAGCTGAAGCACAGCGAAGAGGACAGAGAAGTGATAAGAAAAGAATTAAGATACAACAAACACGAGTATCTGGATAGTCATTTTAACCTGGCTAAGGCAACAGACGAGAGACTCAAGGAGATGACAGATAAGGTAGAAGCCACCAATAAAGAACGAGAAGGGAACATCAAAAAAGATTTGCAACAGTTGAAAAACCGATATGATGATGTCAACCGCCAAATAGGTAGCCTGGAAAAGAGGCTGGACACAATGAGCAAGAATCAGGCCGAAAGTTCATGTGCAATACAGACGAAATTGGATGCAATCTTGAGAAATTCTACCTCACAAGAAAGACCGGCAGCGGATCGCACGCAAGGCACCAGAGTTGACTTTGTGGAACCACAAAGGGGCAAACGGCAATCGACACCGTTGCCCTTAACCCGGGATACGGTGAGCATAGCACCAACGGCTGATAAAACAATCATGAAAAGTGGGAATTCAAACACAACGAGTGGTCCGGGGGACTCAACAGCTAGCAGCAACGCAGGTCCGGATGCCATGACGTGGGCAAGCACTTGGGAGATGATGAACAGGACTCTAGAGGCCTTCGCCACGAGGAATACTAACTCGAGCGATAGGAGAGACGGAAAATCAAGGAAAACTTTCAAGAAGCCAAAAGAATTCAAAGACGACTCAGATGGATGCATTGACACGTGGGTGGAAGTGATGAGATTACATCTAGAACAAGATAACTTAAATGATGAAAGGCAAGCATGCACAGCCATACTCAGTAACCTGGAAGGCACGGCATTGAAATGCGTGGTTGCAAAGAAAGAAGAAGAACGCGATGAGGAGTCGACAAACAGAAGAAACTTTAGCATTGCCTCGAAGTTCATTGATGGGGTAAAAAGTGACGACTTAAGGACAATGTTAGCAACATACTACACATTGTCGAAAGACAGCGCACCAACCCCAGAAGAAATGAGACAGAAATCAAGGGAATACATGCTGATGAAACCCAAGAAATACTCATTTACAGAAAACAGGAACACGCAAGGGGGAAGTCAACCCCAGAGGTCGTCATGGTACAAGCCTAGAGATGACATGGACAAGCGCAGATCATGCGCGAACTGCGGGTCGGCGTATCACCACGTGGCTGACTGCACAACATACAAACAAGGCATGAAGAGCCTAGGATACGCACCGGATGAGGAGGACATGAGCCAGATGGAGGAACACGAGTACTATAATGGCTTAATCATCAAGATAGGCGCTAGATGCTTCTTCTGTAACCAGGAGGGGCACTTCAGAATGGATTGTCCCTTGTTCTGGGAAGCGGTCAAGGACCAGAGTCACCCCAAACATAAGTTGGCATTAGCGGCGGTGCAGAATCAGCGGAACAGGCAAAACGAGTTTGAATCGAGGAACTTAGGAACACCAAGCACGGAATTGCCAACGAAGACAGTGAAAGCTGTAACACATGTTAATGGTGCGATAGAATCCGCGGCAGGGAATTCTCTAGGGATAAATTATGAGAAAGCGGCGACGGAAGCAATTGCCAAAGTGAAACAGGATCTGGCTGCGAAAGAAATAGAGCAACGACTAAAGCTGGAGATCGAAAAACAGAATTTTAACGAAGCATTAACCGGATCGAACCCAACACCAGAGGCTGTACCGGGCTCAACAAAGACGGGGAATTGTAACACTGTAAAAATGGTGACAGGTAAGCCTTTTGGCATATCGAAAATCGGGGCGAGAATAATGTCGATAATCACAGTGGGCGGCCACGAGGTAACCAGAAACTTGAGCGAGCCGAGCGACCAGACAATAATGCACATTGACGTGTATGCTGACTATTTGAGTGGTATAAGCCCACAAACGACTTCTAGAGCACTGAGAGCACTACTCATGAGAGGGGGCAGCAAGTCGGTACGTGTTGATAGCAGATATACTGAAGCTTATGGTCCACACGAGGTGATGCTAAATATAGATGGGATTAACATCTATACCAAGACGATGATAACATGTGACGAAGACCTAATTGGACAAATCTATGTAGGGAAAGAAGAATTGAAAGTGAGATCGATTGGACACTGCGCCATGCTTGAAGAAGATGCAATGCACATCGGGACGGAGGCAGATGTGACAGGGCACGTGCTGGATATAAGTGGCAAAAAGACTCAGTTGCGTGGGTTGCTTGACACGGGAGCAGTCTTGAGCGTCATACCAATCGAAACTTGGGAGAGGATGGGCTTTGACAAAGGTGACTTGATAGACTCGAGAATACGGCTGTCGGCTGCAAACAAAGGGGCCCTTCGGGTGCTGGGCAGGACGCCGATAATAGCCCTCAATTTGGGGGAACGTAACCTGTGGATGAGCTTTATCGTGGTAGAAAACCTAGATGAATCTGACCAATTCATTTTGGGCAGAGACTTCATCAGGAATTTCGACGTAACGATTGATCTAAATAACGCAATGTTCAGGATACGGAACCCGGATAGGAGGTACGCAATCAAACCGGTAAATTTAATAATGGCAAATGAAAACAAAGCACCGGTATTCTTGAGTAGGAGGGTGAGGCTAAAAGCTAATGAAGCGGCAATCGTAAGTTTGAGGATGAAAAATTACAATGAACTAAGTGACAACAAGCAAGTGTGCATAGTTCCGAATCCTAATAGTCAAAGTGCTGCTGTTTTAGGAAGATCATTTTCGATAACGAAGAGCGGCCTCTGCGTCAGTGTCTTGTTGAATACCCTTGATATACCGATCACGATACAGAGAGGGAGGAAACTGGGATATGCTTTACCGGTTAAAACTCGATATGAAACAATTGAGAACTCAAAACAAAATGAAGTTGTTGATTGTCCCAATCACAGGGACAAAATTTGTATCTTGAGACGATTGCAGAAAATAAAAGATTCTTCAGGTCTTATTAAATCACTTAAGTCAGAAACGGATGATGGTCTTGCGAGCTGTTCAAACTTTCCAGAGCGACCCACATTAGATGAAATGCAAAAAATGAAAAACCGGTCCTGCCGGAGATTGAACATTTGAGGGGCAAACTGAAAGATGAACAGCTCGAAGCCATCAAGGACGTACTAGAGCGGAACGAGGAAGTTTTTTCGAGGCATAAGGCGGATATCGGGTGTTGTAATTTCGTTGAGCATGAAATAGAACTTGAGGAAAACGCGGTACCACACAGGGAGGGGGCGAGGCGCATGACCCCACACAAATCGGACGCGTGTAGAAAAGAGATCGAGACGTTACTAGAGTATGACATGATAGAACCATCCAAGTCACCGTGGGCGTGTGGAGTAGTGATGGCCAAAAAGAAAGGCGACCAGTTGAGGTTTTGTTGTGACTTTCGATACCTGAACTCCGTCACGGTGAAGGATGCCTATCCCATATCTAGGATTGATGAGAGCCTCTCGAAGTTAGGTGATGCAAAATTTTTTACGACTCTTGATTTAGGCTCGGCCTTTTGGCAAGTACCACTAAGGAAGCAGGACAGGGACAAGACAGGGTTTGCCTGCGAGTTGGGTCTGTTTCAATGGAAACGGATGCCGTTTGGACTTTGCAATGCCACAGCCACGTTTCAGCGGTTGATGGCACACGCGCTGATAGGCGTAACGAAGAAGTATGGCAACCTGGTAATGTGCTACGTGGATGACGTGGTAATAGCGACGCCAACACTGGAAGACCACATTGAGAGACTAGACGAAGTGTTTGCATGCATGAAGAGGTCGGGGCTAAAGTGTAACCCATCAAAGTGCGAGATACTCAAGGACTCAATAAAATACTTGGGCAGGATTGTAGACAAGCACGGCATCAGACCTGATACGGACGCCGTGGAAGCAGTCCTGACCTGGAAATCACCGAAGACAGAGCACCAGTTGATGAGCTTCCTGGGTTTCGCTAACTATTATAGAGAGTTCATCAAAGGCTATGCAGACAAGGTATACCCGATGCAACAATTAATGAGACACAAGGGCAAGAAGTTCACGTGGAACAACGCAGCAGAAGAGTCATTCCAGAGGATAAAGAAAGAGCTATGTGAGGCACCAGTACTGGGTATGCCGACTGAGAAAGGGATGTACGTGCTGGACACGGATGCGTCGGTAGTCGCGATTTCTGGGATTCTCCACCAAGAACAAGAATGGAATGGGAAGACAGTCTTGAGACCAATAGCGTACGGGAGCAAAGTCCTGAGTGACACGGAAATGAAGTACGGAGCACCGAAAGCTGAGATGTTCGCGGTGGTTACCTTTGTCGAGAAATACAGGGCATACCTGGGCAGTGAGCCATTCAAGTTGCGAGTCGACAACAGAGCACTGAGCTGGCTGAAAACGTACTCAATGGACCAAAGTTACATTGGGAGGTGGATAGTTCGCCTGGACGGATACAACATGATAATTGAGCATAGAACGCGAGATAAACATCAGAATGCCGACAGCTTGAGTAAGAAGACGGAGTTCTATGAGAGACAAGAGCAAAGAGAAGCAGATAGACCTGAAATCAAAGATGGCTTCTCATTCATGGACAAGGAAACGTACGAAAGTCTTCCACTCACGAGATGGCTGGACAAGTCAGGCAAACCGATAGAAGATCATCCTGAATTGCCTAAAGAGCCTCCAGAGAAGACCATCTTGAGGAAGAGCAAGAGGATTCCGATTGAGATTATACTCAAGTCGAAGATCGTGAAGGAGACGCTCAAGGCAAAAGGCTATGATCTTAACCAGGTGGAAGCAGGAACTGCACAGATAGATGATGACTTAATGAGGTTGCTCGAGAAACTATCAGATGATAAGCCCATGATCCAGGAGAAGGGTCAAGAGAAACCGGAATTCACTATACTTCGGAGAAAAGAGACAGTGAACGATACTGACTCATCAAGAGGAAGCGTCACTGACAGCAAAGATGTCGTGCGGTCACTAGTTGACAAAATCCCCGAAGACATTCTGGAGCAGACCAAGGTTAGGAAAAAGAAAGTGACGTTCAAGGAAGATACTGAACACCTGGGACTAGGTCAAGAGTCCGGGGAGTGTTCCAGGTTCACGGAAGAAGGAACCGGAGAAGGAAAATTGTCCGGGGAGCGTGAAGGATGGGATGAAGACTCGGATGAGAGCAGCGAAAACCAAGACAGTCTGTGCATGATACTGGCGGAAGAGAAGACAAGGCACCACGACAGGGAGTTACAGACGGATCCATCTTCAGGAACATACAACATGGACATACAGGAGATGCGAGATGGTGAGGAACTTGAGAAAATTGCGGTCGCAAGGAAACCATTCAGTGAACTATCATGCAACTCAAACATCAGAACGAATCTGGTGCCAGAAGATGATATGAAAATCGTGAAAAGGATGATATGCGTGAAACTGAGTGATGACATCCACAACCCTGGTGAGATGAATGGACAGATCATGGCGCTAAAGGAGCATGTCAAGGCAAGATATAGGCTGTCAGACCTAATAAGAGCCCAGAAGAATGACAAAATGACAAGTAACCTCTCCAAATGGATCCAGTCGGGGGTCAAGGAGAAGGGGGAACTTGAGGAAGACAGCTACAAGATCTTGAGCCAGTTCTACAAAGAAAAGAAAGACTTACTTTATCACACAGCTGATGGAGTGGTAGCGTGCAAGAGGAGAGATGAGGAAAAGATATTACACAAACACAACCTCATCATACTACCACAATTGTACCAGACAGAGGTGCTTTTCAGATCACACGACCAGATGGGTCACCAGGGGATAGACAAAGTACAACAAAGGATACTTCACAGATTTGATTGGCCAGGAATGAGAAAAGCTTGCGAGAGATGGGTGAATGCCTGCCTGGCATGTCTCCAGGTAAAAGACCCAAGGAAGATGAAGTTTCCCCTCAAGTCCGTTGAGAGCTCGGAGTTCAAGGAAGTGGTGCAGATAGACCATCAAAAAATCTGCATGACAGAGTCGGGATACAACCAGATACTGGTTATAATAGATCACTTCACAAAGTTGGCGGAAGCGGTTCCGTGCCAGACAGCCTCGGCCGAAGAGACATGTGATCATCTGATAACGCATTGGATATCGCGGTATGGTTGTCCAATGACTTTCCAGTCGGACAACGGCAAAGCTTTTGTGGGGGACTTGACAAAAGAATTGATGAAGAGATCGCACATTGCTCAAGCACACTCGACGACCTATCATCCGCAGACCAATGGGTTGGTAGAGAGACAAAACAGGACACTGGTCAACATGTTAAGGGTGTACTGCTCAAGATACATGACGGACTGGGACAAATACCTGCCACAGGTAGTAGGAGCCTACAACAGTACACAGCACTCAACTACGGGCATCAGTCCTTTCATGATGTTGACGGGCAGGGAGAGAGCAATGCCTCTGACATTCTTTTACCCGGAATACGAGGGGAAAAGGACGTCGCCTCAGGCATACGTGAAAAAAGCGATCAAAAGACAACAGGAGTTGAACGAGCTATGCAGGAGGAACACGGCGCAAGCGCAAATGAGGCAACGCAGGAAATACGACGAAAAAATATTAAGAGCAAAGCCATATGAAGTGGGCCAATACGTGTGGGTCTTCCAAAATGTAATACCGCCCAAGGGAACAAAGAAACTACTCAAGAAGTGGAGGGGATCATTCATGATAACGGAGGTTCATCAACAAGGACGGTTCTATCGCTTGAGTACTGGGCGAGCGGCACATTATGAAAATCTGAAGCCTCACGTCCCGTCCCCAGAGGATTGGTGCATACCGAAGGACATGGAGGGTCTTGAGTACCTGGTGGTAGAGCCAGCGTGTGAAGTGAATGAGAAAGGTACTCGAGAGAAAAATGATGGTAATGAGAACTTGAGTTTGGACGACAATGAAAAGATAGGAGTGGGGTCTGATGCAGGATCATTTGTAGAAGAAGACTGGAACGACCCGGAGCAAGACGAGGTGCCGAAGTGGATGGAGCCGGATCGACCAACACCACCGGAAACCAGGACTGGCAATCGTAAGCGCACCGGCATGAGGTACAACAGGTACGGGGATGACTTCCTGATCGATAAGATACAGCCAGACAATTTGGGCGAGGAATTACTGAAGGCAGGCGAACTGGAAGCCGGAGAGGAATGGCAGGTCATTGACGATGGTGGTCATTATCCGCAGGATGATTACTCGACGCCAGAAGTAGAAACGGATCTCGAACAGAGTGAGATAGAGAGGAGGGAGAACACGAACTTGAGGATTCTAGAGTGGATGCGTGATGTCAAAGACGAGAGCCGCGAAGGACAAAGCATTCAGCAAGTCGATGTATCAGCAGCAAATTACATGAAGACAGAGGACCCTCTTTTCGGATGGACGGCAACAGACAGGCCACTGGACATTCCTCAGGACAATTCAGACCCGACAACATCGACGGGGACGTCGATAAATATTTTTGTCCGGGGAGTGGGGGTAGGACTTACCCACACCGAAAATTTGATGATAAAGAAGCTCAAGGAAGTGAGAGAAACGAGCGAATTGGAACTGGAGGAAGAAGAGCCAGAGCCTACTATAGGTCGGAATTTCAAAACGAAATTCGAAATACCCAATGAATACTCGGAGAACATCATGATAACGGATAGCGACTTCATCCTGTCAAACAGGACCAGCGCGATCTGCATCACGGCGGACATGAGTTTCAAATCAAGATTGGAAGCTGACTTCAAAAGAGAGTACCAGAATGTAGAGTTTCCGTTCAGACAGAGACCAGGAATGGGAGGGATGGCAGCGCTTCCACCGTCAGTGGCACAAGTCCCGGGCAAATATCTGTGCTTCCTAGTAACGAGGGTCAATGACAGGAACACAATTGATCCCGAACACGTGATATTGGCACTAACAAGATTACGAGACTTCATGATTGAAAGAGGGATAACAGAGGTCTCAATGCCGGTGTATGACCCAAACAGGGGCA